GCCTGAGAGCCAACAGCTGACTGACACGAATGTTAACTAGCATCCTAGCATGCAAAAAAAATCGATAGCTGCATTCGTCACAAGTGGGAAAAATTTAAATCTGCATGGCACTTTACTCCACTTGGCTCATTCGCTTGCTTAAACTCAACGTTGATTCTGATTCCGCAGAACTGGGTTGGGTGTGAAAAAGTATTTGTTGTTAACATTCTTTTTTCATTCGGTTTTTTCTAATTACGAGTCATTTTTTAAAGCTGATCGTTTTGTTTTCATTTTGTTTAGTTCTTTTTTCGTAACAGATTTAATGTTTAGTATAGAGCTTAGAAAAAATTCGCAGTGTGAGATAGGCAAGAAGTAAGGCATGTAGCAACATCAGCACGGCAAAGAGCACTCCTTTAAAGGCAAGGAAGGGCAAAAATATTTTAAGTCAAGTGATAGCAATTGGTGTATGAGTCGTACGATTTTTGAATCAAGCACGGGCAACGCCAGGCCATGCTGCTAACATATATATATATATATATATATATATATATATATATATATATATATATATATGATTAGAACGTTCTAACCATGAACCCGGGTTCGAATCTCGATTTGTCCGGAAGGGGACTTCCTGATATTATCGGAATGGATCGAGGCCTTTGAAAAGTGCCTGAAGACCATACTATGGGTTGACCCAAGCCTTGTGAGTGAGATTGGGTAGACGGAACTTTTCTAGCACAAAGTCATCCTGGCCGAGTGCTTGCGCGTGCTGTCTTTGTTCAAATTGTTGATCACGCTAGATAACACGCTCTCTTCCAGCTCAGCATAGTGGCAGTATAAACCACTGGTGGGCTTTGTGGGTGTTGAGCAAAAACAAATGTGTGAGCGAGCGTCTCTGCATAGGGATTGGCCGCTCTAGTAGATGAGTATACGCAGGTATTATATATATATATATATATATATATATATATTTGATAATATTAGTGGTCAATATATATATATATATATATATATATATATATATATATATATATATATATATATTGATAATATTTGGGGTCAATATACACACACACACACACACACACACACACACATATATATATATATATATATATATATATATATATAAATATAGAAATTCCCAAAAGTATAGAATCCAGGTAGGACTCAATGTCCAGAGCAGAGTATAATATAAAGGCACAAACACTAATATTCCATGGTTATAATTTATTACATTGGAATTGTAATCACGATCCAATTCATCAGACCTACAAATGAATTGGATCGTGATTACGATTCCAATGTTATAACCATAGAATATTAGTTTTTTAGCTTTATATATATATATATATATATATATATATAGTTTTCAATGATCAATTTTGCTTTCTTTATTTCATTTACAATGAGGTTCAACGCCCGGGAATCCCTCGAGGTAGAAGTTTACAGAGTAAGAGACACGGTTTACGCGGATATGTTTACTTGAACAGGCTAAGATTGTAGTAATCGGGGAAGCATCCTCTTGGGAGCCGGTTCCACAAAACAGTGGTTTGTAGGAAGATGCTGCTCGAGTGGATCTTACATCTCACTAATGAAATACGAAAGGAATATGGATGGTTCGCTACAATGTTTATATTATCTCACTTTGCTATTTTTTTACAACATCATAAAGTCAGTTTATGAAGCAGTATAAAGTTTGTTATTTTTTTTTAAACGGAATCACCACATGCAAGTCGATAATACCAGTAAAACAAGGGCGTACAGGGCGTGGAAAAATTAGGAAGGGAAAAATTAATGATGAGCGGAAAGAGAAAAGAGTAATTAGGAAGACAGTAGATAGCGATTGACATTGCATTTAATTCTTGCAGATTAAAGTTAGCTGTAAAGCAAGGAGACGGAAGTGAGTTCCACAAGGGAGAAGTGCGAGAAAAGAAACTGTTGCCATAGAACTTCCGGCTACATCTAGCCTGCTAAACTGTAAATAGATGAGCTCTCGAAGTCAAGCTAGTACTGCGCTTAAATTTAAAAAAAAATATTCTAGGTACGATAGCGAAGAGCTTATATGAATAATTATCAAGTATTTATATTGTATTCATTTAAATATTTACTATACAGGTGGGAGGTAGAAAATGGTTCCATGTGAAAGTGGACAATGACGCAAAAATTTAGATACCCCTGAGGTAACGCGATATGCAAATTTTGTAAGAAGTGAGGTTCTGGGATTTGCTATTAAATGTATCTATAGTTTCAGTCGTTTTTTTCTTTTCTTTTCGTTCCTGTTTTGAAAACAAAAAATCGATTTCTTTTTAAAATCATTTTACCCCACGCAAGGTGGGAATGCCACTAGTACGTAGAGGTTACAAGGAGTGAAAGTGAGAAAAATGACTGAATATTTGGATGAGTAAGGAAAGGAGAAAAGAAGGAAGAAGATGGTGATCGACGTTGCATTTACATTTTTGTAGATTGTCGTTATCAGGGATGGAAGCAAATGAGAGGAAGTTCCATAGGCGGGAAGTGCGAGTAAAAGTGGCGGTTGCATTTAACTATTCAAAAAATAAACGGATGGGACCTAGATACTAATCTGATAGCACGCTTATATTCATGTCATCCGGGCAATAGGAAAAAAAACTCATCAAAGTAGTTGCCATGAACATTTAACTCTGAATAAGCATTTCATCTAGCTATGGATCGGGAACCCAGGATTAATATTTAGGGCGCTAAAAATATTCTATGACCTCTGTGTCGGCTAACAGAATATTTTAACCCTGGAACACTAACTATATACGAGTTAATATTACTACGAGTATTATTCTAAGATGTCTCATAAGAGTATTATGCATCGTGTTATAAGAATTGGTATCTGCGATTACAAAGTCCTATTACGTTTGCATTTAGGAAGTATCCAGCAAGTATACGTTGTGGACACAAAGGGTTGTTTTAAAGACATAACAATAGTAAACCCCGTGCGTTTTAGGGACATTATAGCCTTGCTTGGGACAAAATGATTAAAAGATAATGTTGAGCTCTTTGTCTTTTACCTTAGAACACTAACCATCAATTAAAGTTACACCATTACTAACCTTGGGTATATCATACCCGATTTTGAAAATATCAAAAAAAAATATTAGATATATATCTTTATTTGAAATATTTTAAATGCAGACACTTCAAACTTTGTACTTCGAGGTAACATTAATAGGAACTGAAATACATAAGGAAATCAGGTACTGAAAATTGTTATTTAAAATAGGAAAAATTGCCCTGGGTACTATATATCCATGGTTAGTGTTCTATGATTAAGGATTTTCTCATGGATTTTTTTAAGGATTTTCTTTAAAGAATTTCTCAATGATTTTCTGCAATGATTTTTTCCTCAAGGATTTTCTTCAAGGGCTTTCGTTAAGGATTTTCTCATGGTTTTTCCTAAGGATTTTCTTCAAGGACTTTCTATAAGGATTTTCTCATGGATTTTCCTAAGGATTTTCTCAAGGATTTTCTTCAAGGACTTTCTTTAAGGATTTTCTCATGGATTTTCTTAAGGATTTTCTTTCAAGGATTTTCTCAAGGATTTTCTTTAAGATTTTTCCTCTAAGGATTTTCGCGTGGATTTTCTTTAAGGATTTCCTTTAAAGATTTTCCATGGATTTTCCTAGGGATTTTCTTGTAAGGATTTTCTCAAGGATTTTCTTTAAGATTTTTCCTTTAACCCTAGAACACTAACCATCAATTAAAGTTACACCATTACTAAGCGTGGGTATATCACACCCGATTTTGAAAATATCAAACAAAATATTAAATATAAATCTTTATTTGAAATATTTTACATTCAGACACTTCAAACTTTGTACTTTGGGTTAACATTAATAGGAACTGAAAAAACATATTATTTAGGTAAAAAAATCAGGTACTGAAAATTGTAATTTAAAATAGGAAAATTTGTGCTGGGTACCATGGTTAGTGTTCTAGGGTTGAAAATGTTTTGTTTTTAAATGTTATTTACTGCATACGGTTACAAGAGTAACAAAGAAAAACAACAAATTTACATTTTTTTAATCATTTCACCCCAACCAAAGACGGGAATGCCACTAGTACGCAGTGGTTACAGTGAGTTAAAGTAAGAAAATGACTGAGTATTGGGAGGATTGAGGAAAGGACAAAAGATGAACGGTATTCAAGAAGATACAAGATGGCGATCCACGTTGCATTTAAATTTTTGAAGTTTGTAGTTATCAGAGAAGCTATTTCAACAATAAACGTGTGGGTCATAGAAGCATGTTTAAATTCATGTAGACGGGCCAGCAGGGGAAAAATCACATCAGAGAAGTTGCCATGAACATATTTGTAAAAAAAGACTGAGGGAAGCCACACCACGTCAGTGCGAAAGTGACTGAAGTCGAGATGCCAGGTCACGATCAATTGCATTACAGAACCTTGAGATGAATAGCAGGAACAGAAGATCAGATATGGCAGCAGTATTCAATGCACGGACGAATGGTAGATTTATAAATGTGCAAGATAGATTTTGTCAAGAAACATTTTTTTGGCACGGCACAGTGATCCAACTTTCCTTGCAGTAGATGCTGTTATTGATTCGATTTAGTCGCTCCACTTCACATCAGTGGAAAACGTGAGCCCAAGAAATCGTAGAGTGTTGCTCTCGGAGAGTTTAGCTACATCCGTTCTGATGTCAGCCAGAAAGTTCTCTCTGCGGAGACTAAATGAAAGCCGTTTTGTTTTGGAGGCGTTAACATTTACAAGCCTTTTCTTGCCCCAGTTAACAACTGATTGACGGTCCTTCTCATGAGCATTTGTCAGGTTTTCTTTGTCTAGTCGTTCGGATTTGCTACTGAGGCAAAAGTAAATGGTAGCCATTCGCATTTGTGTCACATGTAACAAAATTTAAATTTATTTAATGAAAATTTAATTCATTTTATTTTTATTTTTTTAATTGTTTTTTTTTTTTTATCTTTTTTTTTTTTGGCCTTGCGTTTCGCATAAAACGTTTAGCAGGCCGCATGCAGCCCACTGGTCGAAATTTGTCCATCGCTGTTGTAAGGCGACAAATTCATTTTGTGCCTATGGACGATATGAGTATGTTTTTTATTCCTTTGAATGTGTTATGGTCTGAAACACATTTAAAAGATTACGTTTAATGGGGTACTTGGAAGGAGATTAAAAAATATCTTGTCTTTCTCCACTCACGAAAGACCACATTCAGCTTACTCTTCTATGAACCGTCTCCATTCAGGACGTGAACGATCATGCCCCTCCACAGCTTCATATACTTTGTAGCATTCAGCAATGTTTACCTTTTTAATATTGTTTTATACAGTACCTATGAACTCAATAGGTATGCCTCAATCCTCATAAATACGTTGGACACTATTCTACATGGGGGTAATATGGTGTCTAAGTAGTCCACAACTAGAAGTGGTTTACCTACTTCACGGCGCTGGCGAGTATTGTATTTTGTTGATGTTTTAAAGATTACCATTTCATTTCCAACCTCTGTTTTTGTTATTCTTCATTCAGTAACCTTTCCTAAGTTACAACATTTTTTTGCCATGTGATTAATAATCATTCACGACTGGATTAAGTGCATTGACAAGGAATGTGATTATGTTTTAAAAGAATTTTTTTTTTTTTGTAAAATTAATTCATTTTCTTCATTAGGTGATGAATTTATTGATGTACTTAATATTGTTATATAGCGTCCTTATGTACACTAATGTCCCAATCCTCATAAATACGTTGGACACTATTGTAAGTGGGGGGAATATGGTGTCTAATTAGTCTACCACTAGCAGTGGTTTACCTAGTTGACGCCGCTGGCGAGTATTGTATTTTGTTGATGTTATAAAGATTACCATTTCATTTCAAACCTACATTTTGGTCATTCCTTATTCAGTAACCTTTCCTTGATTACAACAACTATCCTTATTCACTCCCTATGCTGTCATCCATTTACACAAGCTTATTAAGGTAGATTTACTCACTTTCCCCTTCTGTCCCTTTACGTTCAATGTCGTCCGAGTGTCAAATTTTCCAAGCCGACTTTCCTTATTATATTTCCAAGTAATCATAACAATCACAATGAAAATAAACATTACGCATGAATACATCCATTATTTACATTATCCGGACTACTAACCTCATCTCCATTGTCACATTCACAACATTTCGGCCGTTGTACGCTTCAGCCTTCATCAGGTGGTTGAAATTTCCAACCGAACCTTTTATTTCATCCGCCGGCGTAGACACATGGCCTAGTGGATAGAGGTGTTGGTTAGATCCAGTGACTAGTCCCAAAAGAGTTGTGAGTTCAATACCAGCTTCAGAAAACTTGGAGAACTGAGTTAAAAGGAAATAACCGAGACACCTGGAAGAGGCATGGTCCGTGGAACTAGAACAATCTACAACCCAGTGCACGAAATAAAGGATTCGTTTCGAAATTCCAATCACATGAAGAAGGCTGGAGCGTACAACGGCCGAAACGTTGTGAATATGGCAATGAAGATGATGATAACAGTTTGAAAAAAAGTAAGTAATGTTAGTAGCCATAATACTTCATCTCAGAGATATAGACAGATAATGAATACATCCGTAATATACTAACCCTTTAACACAAAAGAAGAAATTATCATTATTATAGGTACCATATAACTTTAGGCCGTGACCGATCATAGCTCTCCATGACTTCTAATCCCGAAGAAACGTTCACTGTTCCTACCAGTCTATGTTTTGCTATCAATTTACACAAGAGAATTACTTTAAATTATTGCATGAGATACTGAAATTCAGCCATTCTTGTGCTCTGAGCGTGAAATTAAAATTAATTTTACAATTTTTTTTTCTCTTTTTCAGGGACATTTTAACGAAACGAAGGCAGCGAAGTCTTATAGACAAATGGAAAACCCGTGGTCTTCAACGTCGAGGTCTAACGCCAAGCCCGAACCCGTCTCTTGCGGGTCGTATCACAAGTCCGTCATCGCAGGGTTACTTGAAGCATGACGGTATGAGGTCACAGTCCTATCCGAAACTCAACCCGACAACAAAAACATATACCTGGAAAGATAGACAACAAGCAGCAGGGGACCCACTCGATTCGACGAACATGGCCGTCGCAAAGACATCGAATGCCACGTCGGGCGGAGTATCTGCGGTTAGTGCTATGGCAGACGATAAAATCAAGTCAAGTGCCCTTCGAAAGAGATCAAGCCAAATCCAGGATATGGCCTGTCAAACTGATGCCGAAATTCTGGGAATGTTATTAGCCTTTTTGAGAAACCACATCCGCGGTGGTGCAGACCCTGAAAGCGGAGAGAAATCCTTTTTCAGTGGCCTGAACGATAAGATAGTGACATTCTCTGGTAATGAGGTAATGTGTAATCAGGACACGTCCAATAGTCGGCCGTTTCCCATCAATTCGCTTCCAATAACCGAATCCCCAAAGGAAACCTGCAACGACTGCATCCCGGGTCATACACTGACCAGCGAGAAGTCGCCGTTACTGAGCGCCGACGACGATTTGGATATGCTGTCAATGGACGATACGAACCCCGAGTCAGGTAAAGAGTTCAGTTTCTCAAGTAGCTTGCGCGAGTTCCCGTTCATGTTGAAACGTCGCCAGAAGACCAAGAACAACGAAGAAGAGGTATCAGAATTGTCGTGGATGGCGCAAAGTAGCGCCCAAGGCAGTATAGAAACAACTCCGGAGAATTGTCTCTTCCCCAGCGTGTCAGAGTCTCCTAACCCGATGGCCACGGGTCCAAGAAAGATCCTTCTCACGCCGCAGTCATCGTTTGACTCTCGCGACAACGAGAAAGACTGTAACGGCTACGATCCGTCCTCAGGAACATTTGTCGAGAGCAGAGAGACGAACGGTGCCGGCTCTTCCGGAGTCGGTGTCGCTGTCGCAAGCTCTGCTTCCAAAGACGCGTGTGTAGCTGCTATGGCAACGTTATGCGAGAAGATCCCGATTGAGAAGGAAAAAAGATGGAGTGGTAGCAGTGGAAATGCTAGCTTTCGCCAGTCCCTAGAAGAAATGTCCATGCACGGACTGACGGCTTTGGAAGATGAGGAAGTCTCCATGGAGAAGTTTGTAACTTATCTTAAAAAGAAAGGTATATGCGTTGACGAGTCTTCCTTACAAAGTAGTGACGTCTAAACTTGAAGACTTAGAGAGAAAATTAAAATACCAAACAAAACGACAACAAAAATAAATCCGAAGAATCCGTTATAAGAATCCTATAGGTGATTCCAATATTCTTATCCGGAAAAAGGAGAAAAAAAAAAAAGATATTTACTGCCAAACACTGGCCGATTCAAGAGATATCAGTTTTGAAAGCAAATGAGTTTGATACCTTGCTTTGGAAAATAAAAAAAAATAAAATAAAAAAAAAAAGACACGCACACATGAATTAAAATCGGTTTGAAGATTGCTAGAGAGCCATTTTATGTACAAACGTATCTATGGTTGCAAAATTGACAGATATACCGAACCTGAGTTCGAATCCCATCAAGGTTTAACAACTGTTTTACATTCTACATTCCATTAAATACAAAACGTCATACAAAGACGCGAATAAAAACGCGTCGTTACCATCCGGTAGTGGGTGTTCGGGTCCAGGTAAAAAAAAAAGTAAGACTAGTAAATATTGTAAAAAAAAAAGACGTCTATTATGATAGTCTCAAGTGACAGTCAACGAAGAAAAAAAAACAAACAAATTGTATATAGCTACCGTCAGCAATGATATTTATTTTTCCTTTATAAATTAACTGGTACAAGTGCATGCACTGCGTGCCAGAGACGGGTTAGCGCATGCGTATATAAAAGGATGTGTATACGCATGCGTCTGAATCTAATTCGTCTGACTGAGGTTATAAAATATACGGTACGCTACTTTTCATATATATAAAAAGCAAAAAACAAAAAAAAAACGAAAAAAAAACAAAAGAACAAAAAAACCAGAAGAGACTGTACATAACGTGGATGACTAGAAACTTATGACTTTGCTTGTTTTAGTGCCAACTAAACTTCGACTTGTATTTTTTATCACTAAAACAAATATATCAGGAAAAATCAAAAGAAATCTGTCAGTGTAACCGCCTGACACTGTATAGTTCCTCACCCCAAAATGAATAGTTCTCCCTAAGCGAGAAACGAAGTTGCTGCGCCAGGCTTCAGCTCCAGTCCATAGATGTGCCATTGTTATATGGTTAATTTATAAAAACCAGGCCTTGAACATAATCTCGCTCTGGAATATAGTTACGTACATAAAACTCAATGAAAATTTAAAATATATATATATATATATATATATATATATATATATATATATATATATATATATATATATATATATATATATATATATATATATATATATATATATATATATATATATATATATATATATATATATTTATATATATATATATATATATATATATATATATATATATATATATATATATATATATATATATATATATATATATATATATATATATATATATATATATATATATATATATATATATTTCATATATATATATATATATATATATATATACTTTCATATAAATATACTCAACAGCATTTAACAACACATAAAACATATACAAACACAAATACTATATGTATATATACTTATATATATATATATATATATATATATATATATATATATATATATATATATATATATTTTAATTAAAAACGACTGACAAAGGTACTACAGTTAAGTTTTGCATTGAATATTTCTTGTGTTCTTATAATTTTCTTCCTTTCTGGACGGAAATTATGTAGAAATTATCCAAATGTTTGTATATCCGAGCGATTTCGGCTATACTTTTAGCCATTATCAAGGATGATTTTAATTTTACGTGTAACTATATGTATTGATTGTTTGATGTATGTATCTAGAGTTACAGGTATGTTATTTTCTCCCAAACACGGTCAGCACATTGTGGCCGTGTTCATAGTTGTTATTATTGAGTGTTGGCTATTTCTTTTGTTATCAATAATGCCTCCATTATTTTAGATATTTTACATGTTGAGGGGGCTATTATATTTGTATTATCAACGAGTATAATTGTTCATGGCTAAAAGTGTGACGGAAAGCCGTCAGACATAAAGAACATCCGGACAATTCCTACGTGATTTACGTCCAAAAAAAGAAGAAAATTATGAGGGCACAAAAAAATTAAATAAAAAACTTAACCGTAGTACCTTGTCAGTCGTTTTAATGAAACTTGTATAAAAAAGGGATTGCTGCCCAAATACATAATATATATATATATATATATATATATATATATATATATATATATATATATATATACTCAACGAGCATTTAACATACACACGATCATATATATATATATATATATATATATATGTGTGTGTGTGTGTGTGTGTGCGCCCGCGTGTGTGTGTGTGTTGTGTGTAAACATTTATCGATGAGTAGGATGGACATACAGTCATTCCTTCATTTAAAATATATAGGCACCATTTTGATACTGGTGTATGCAGCGCCACCTGTAGAGAAAAATTATGTTAATTAGTCTGCGTAATGCCACGACTCTTATGTTATTACCTTGAAATTTTTTTTTTATATATAAGATTTTACATAATCAAGGTAGAATGCTGGACTTTATCCTAATCTACACACACACACGCACATACACATACATACACACACGCACACATGCAAACATGCACACATACACACACATATATATATTTGTGTCTGCGGTCTGTGTATAATATATGCGTGTGTGTATGCATATATATATATATATATATATATATATATATATATATATATTTAAGACATTTTATGTTTAACATTCTTTTATAGATACAAATATTTAAGTAAATGCTCTGTTTATAATAAACAGTATTAAACAACATTTACCGGCCTGAATGTCCGAGAAATTTTCATAGAAAATATTCGTCCTTCGACAGGATATTTTCTGTGAAAATTTCTCGGACATTCAGGCCGGTAAATGTTGTTTAATACTGTTTATTATAAACAGAGCATTTACTTAAATATTTGTATCTATAAAAAGAATGTTAAACATAAAAATGTCTTAAAATAATTGTCGGACTTTGTCCATTTCATAATGTGTGACGTCATATATATATATATATATATATATATATATATATATATATATATATATATATATATCGTAAAGGTAATAAATCCGTTGGTATATAATGCAAGCGGATCCTAGTAATATAAAATATTAAAACTGATCCACAAAAAGAGCTCAATATATTTATTATTACAGAGCAAATAATTAGTACACAATAAAATAAAAAGAAAATATCTCATATGGTAGATATATCAGTCTACACCGGATTTGAATAAAACTGGCGAATTATTCGTTGGTTGAAATAAGCCTCTTCCTCATATGAGGTAATTTGGGATTTTATTGTGTATTAATTATATATATATATATATATATATATATATATATATATATATATATATATATATATATAAAAATGACCATTTAACATGTTTATTTATTTATTCATTTAATATTTATTTTAATGACGCATTTAACATCTTAAAACTGATAAAGCCTCGTGTGAAATGAAATGAAGAAAAAAGGCACACAAGCCAATGTCGTCTCAAATACTTCCCAAAAAACTTCTACCTACTTCAGAATTTAATTTTTGAAGACAAACAATATTCACCATTTACCACAATTATTATTATTATTATTTTATAATTTTCTTTTTCAGCTCTAAACAGAAAAAAAAAGTATCCCCAACAGGAAACACAAAACTGGACTCGTTTACGAACATAGCATTCAGAAATTTTATAATTTCTAAAGACTTCTTTTTGTTTATTGTCTGCACAATTTTAATATGTGTTGTACCTGTAAGTCATTCATATTTGTTTATATAATTCAGTTTCTATTTTTAAAAAAACCTGCAAACAAAGGACTGCATTTGTTCTGGAAAATTCACATCATTCAATGGATGAATATCAAAGAACTTGAATTCATTCTCTTGTCAAACGTACTCTTATATAAATATCTGAAAATTGGAGTCAAACCAAATAGGTGTATATAAATCCTACAGCAGCATCCAAGCACACACACACCCACACACACAGATATATTTGGGCACCTATCACAGTGTAGTGGTTATCAACCTTGTCTTGTAAGCCAGTTCACTAGTGTAGTGAGTTCGATCCCAAGAGGATGCACCTCGGCGTATACCTGCCTCAGCTTAATTTAATAATATTGGGGTAATGGACAGGAGTATCGGCTTGTAGATTATAACAGCTGAGTAGCAAGTCGATTCTCACCAGGTGCCACAATATTGTGATTTAAGTGAATAACATAAAATTGCCTGCTGTAACACGATGGCTCACTTAATGCCCTACTACCGAGGATCTTAGACAATATATATATATATATATATATATATATATATATATATATATTGTCTAAGATCTATCTATCTATATATATATATATATATATATATATATAGATAGATAGATAGATAGATAGATAGATAGATAGATAACTGACTTAGAGTGATAGTCAACAGTCTGAAATAGACCGATAGATAGGAACAGACTAAGATAGATAGATAGATAGATAGATATAATCCCGTAAATATATATATATATATATATATATATATATATATATATATATATATATATATGAGTGTGTGTTTGTGTACAGACAGAGAATAATAGATAACAACAACTGAGATAGATAGATAGACTGAGATAGATAGATAGATAGATAGATAGATAGATAGATTGTTTAGAGTGGCTTATCTTCATGATCGATTTGCGAGAGTCTTCCACATCTGTTGCAATAAGCGAAGGCCAAGTGGGGGAGCCATATTCTCTTCCAAGATTCTGCTGTAGAAGTCCTGGTAGCCGGCAGAGGAATCTCCCCTTGTGGCAGAATTTATTTTCTGTAATTCTTTTCCTACAACATGATATATCGAGGAAAACTTCCTGATTGACTTCCATATTGCCATGACAATTGTTTCTATGTCTGTTCATTATAGTTGAATCCAGTGGGGATTAGAAACGTTTCCATGGAGCTTCCAAATGGAGTACAACCTTTCTGCCGGACTAAATCTCTTCCCCCCGATTAGAAGTGTATATCAAAAGATCA